TGCCTTGTCCCCTCACTGAAGGAAGAGGTGCCTGACTCCAAATCATTTCCAGGGTACAAGTTTCAATCCTAAATCAGTGTAGATCACTTCCACCTTCATCTTTTAAAACCTTTTTGCCACCTTGCAAAGGTTTGCAATTTCCTCTTTATATCTAAATCACCTGAAAACAAAAAGAATAATACACATGAAGGAAAAAGCTTATTTAGAGTGTTTTTTTTTAGATTAGGCAGATCAGAAATCAAAGACCAGCTTAAACATCGTTACAAACTTAGCTGACCAGGTGCTGGAACCCAGCTGAAGCAAATGTATTTCAGTTATAAATTAATATCAGATGATGTTCTTCAGAAAAAGCCATTCAAGACAGCTGAGAGTGAGCAGGGCCACAGCTTTCCAAAAAAAGCCTGACATGATCTAATTCCTCCTCAGTGGGAGTTAGATTGGGCCACGTGCCCACAGCTACATGAGTCTAACTGCTGCCTCTCAAAAACAATAGTTAAATGAAAACTGTCTCATTACTATCATAATTAACCAGTCCCAGGCACATACATTAGTAATGACTTCTTTTTTTTTTTTAATGGTAGCTTTTGTCAAGGTTTCCACACAATTCCATGAGCACTTCAAGACAGACTTTTACATACCTATTTTATATAGGTAGCAAGAAGGCTGGCAAAGAGAGGCAAGAATGTTACACTGGAAAGATAGCCCGTCATCAGTGTTTCAGAGTGAGAAATAATTCCCTTGACTGTGTGAGGTGGTCTCTTTCTATCCACAATTCAGTGCTCTTATTCAACAGAGGTTCCCTACATTCTCTAAAAACTGCAGCCACCATTTGCTGTTGTGAGATGAAAACCCTATGTAATTTTCAACTGCATGTATCAGTAACTGCTCAACTGTTGCTGCCAGGAGTTTTTTCTACATATCACACAAATACACCACCTGTCATAGAAAAATACATTCTTCACACTCATTTGCTGCTACATTAATTTATTTGCAGCAGCAGGAAGCAGCCTTGAGGGGAAAAAAATTAAAAATTGCTCTTTCATCTTGATGTTATTTTAACATGAATGTTTCATTACAGAAATATATCTGTGACCAACAAGGGAGATCATTTAAGTCTTTAGCTACTTAATTTCTATTTAACTAGCTATTATGAATGATTGAGGAACTACTGAATTTGCCTTCAAAACAGTGTCAGAATTTAGGAAGCATTCTGTACTCATAACTGGCAGATATTTAGCAAGTCTGACTAAATATATGACAAAGCTAACAAAGTGAACACATTTCAAAACACTGACTCAGGAAGCCACAGCTGGCACTTTTTAGATAGGGTTACGTGGTATATGAATATACTGGCTGAAGCTGAGATGGAATATTTTTGGTCAATTTTTTGTGAAAATAAGAAATGGAAAAACGGTGAATCTCTCCATGAGTGATTTATCACAGAAGAAGAAAGTATATCTTCCCCCAAAAGTGCGAGTTAAAGATAAAGGATGAGTGATTGCTTCTGAAACTCTGCATTTGAGTAGCTCCAAACTCCACAGGCAAATCCTGAAATCAGAAATAAACACCATTCTCCAACCACTACTTCTCCTGGCATCAGGAAACAGCTATCTTAATCTCTGCCTTTTTAATACCTCCCAAGACTGTGGGTTCTAGACTATCACCCATCCTACAGCATTTGCAAAATTCTACCTGGAGGGATTAGCAACCAACAGCTACTCAAATCTGCCTGGATTATCTTTAAGATAGAAGAGATGAATATTATGACTACTCAGATGTACGATTGTTTCAAATTACCAGCTGCACATTAACAAGCAATAAGGATTAAATTTCAGGCTTCAAGAACCTGCTTGTCCTCAATGTTATTTTTCATTTTCATAAAAATTTTGTTACAAGACAGGTTGGGCTACATGTATTTACACCCTAATCAAACATGAATTTAAAAAAAGAAAAAGCAAGCTGTTCTGTTCTACACAGATACAGTTGCGAGATAAATGTTTTGACATCCTAAAAACAATATTGACATTATCTTAAATATTACACTTAATTTTTCTAATTGCTATATGTTATGACAATGATAATTTGATATATCTAACATGTGTTTAGATCTTAATTTTGTCTTCTTGAATCATTTATAGTCTAGCTGTATCTTTCAACACACTGCTGTTAAGCATCATAGAAAAATTGTAGCTAAAAGATTTAAAGTTGAAGTAATTTTTATAATTCTCCACTATTTTTCTGGATGGATTTAGTTCAAGGGCCTAACGGTATTCTACTGTTTCCACAGATCTTTCATATAGCTGTAAGAAAGCATCTTTAAAAGAACAACTGCCATTTTCCTTAAAAATTAAGCTTTAAATTGATTAGGGTCATCAGCATGGTGTTCAGGCTCCATTAGTTTTTAAACTACAGCTGAATTTCTACTTGTCATTCCAGGAACTTTTTATTCTGTGTGATTTTACTCAAAATAAGAAGAAAAACATTTATGAATACTTAGTTAACTGTTGGCTGAATTCATCAGGCTTCACATACTTGTGCACCAGTCACCTCCACTTCAAAATTTCCAGGATACTAAGTATGGGTCTAGGAGCTCTCATACTTTACTGTGGGCCATTCAAGAACTATTTATCAAAAATATAGATGAAAACTAGCGCTCTTATGGTTCACAGGCTATAGTGAAATAATCTTCTGCAGAAGATTTCCCATGTGACTGTGACCTGTTCAATTTAATAATCTAAAAGGTATGGTAACACAGATTGCCACAGCCTGTGCAGCTAACCTTGCTAATGTCCTTACAGCATTCTGTCAAATCTAACAGAAAGGCTGGAAGAGTGCCCAAGAAAGGTATCCAGTAGCTAATACAAACCTTCCCAACAACTCTATAAAAACTCAAACCTTGCCAAAGCCAAAAATTCTGTACTTAATGTGCCAAAATATAATCTTACAGCACCAGAATGGGTTCTGGAAGGAGCTGACAAACCGTGAACACTCCACCACTGGAAATGTAACATCACAGTGGTCTCTGTGCTGCAGCCTTCCTGCTTTTTCACCCCTCCAGCTCTCTCAAGTATCCTGTACCTCCACACAGTGCTAGCAGAGTGGTGGATATGAACAGCCAGGAGCAGCCCCCGTCTCTGTCGGATGCAGCAATGGTAGAGCTTTATAAATAAAACACAAAGTGGCAAATGAGGCCATCCTTGCTGCTGGAATGGCCCATCTCCATCTCTTAACCCAGTCAAAGCAGACAGACAACTGTGCTCTGAAGCAACCTACTTTGCTTGTGCTTATGCCTAAAGCCAAATTTGCCTGTTATGAAAATGGAAGGTGACATAATAACACAAAACTGTTTGGAGTCAGTAGATATGTACGCTGCAGCACTCAATTACAGCTGGGTGAATTAAGGACTGTTTTACAGATTTAATTCCCTCCCCCACCTGTGGAGGAAGCCCAGTCCTCTGACAGATCCCTGGAGATCTGCCCCCTAAGATAAGACAAAGCTGCCTCCCAGACCCAGCCGCAACACCCACCCACTCTGCAAGTTAAGATAGATCTTCCGCTATCAAAAATTCCATTTAAAACTATTTGAAGATCTTATCACTCAACAACTGAATTAATTCAGCTTGTAATTTTTATCCTTTGAGAAGAACAAGCACAAATCATTTTGTAAGAACCTGGTCTTCCTGTTTTGGGGGGGACAGAAAGAGACAAGGAATTACCCTTACACCTGGTTTTCCTCCTGTCTAATTTTCCTGCACAACACTAACTCCAGTCACATTTGGGAAGCCGAATCTGATGACTTTTACCAAAGTCAAGCAGAGTCTGTTCTGCACTGCACAGTGACACTGATTCCAAATGGTGATTGTTCACTGGTTCTACAAACAGTACTGTCAACCAAAAGGCAACATGTTCTACCAACTTTTTTTACCCATTCATACTGTGCACATTTTCCGAGTTAAAGACTGCTGGTTTTTAATGCCAAACCCTCATTTTGATCCAACTTCCTTACAAATATTAGGCCTTAGAGCCATTTTTGAAAGCAGCCGTGATCAGTATCTACACACTGAAGTTAATTTCAATACTATCATTCCTAAACAAAAACTTCTTTTTGCATTCCACAGCCGTAAATGCTATCCAATTATACACCTTCATTTCACAAAATACTTTCCACTGATAAAGAACTCTTGACATACAGAACAGTTATGCCTGCATTTACATACCTAACTTTATTCAACTTCCCCTTCACAACTCCTATTTAGAAAAGGCTATCCAAATGTTCAGATTAGGCCACTAACTCAACTTCTTTACAGGTTCTTAACTTTTGGAACAATATAAGAGTGCACCTGCTAGTTATGATCTTGCTTCTGTCATACCAGGTTAAGGGGTCTGATCCCTTGATTTGGTCTGTATGTTAGGCTGATTTTATAATAAACAACTGAACAGAAAATGACTCAAACTAGTATTCTTTGAACTTTATGTCAATGTTAGCCCTTACCAGAGATATGCAAAAGAAAGAAGTCAGATTTCAGAGGCTGTTGGAGAGAACTTCAGCAGTCTGATACAAGACTGGTTCTACCACTCAAAACTACCTGTGATTCATGACTGACCAGACAGGCCAAACTTTCCAAAGGTACTGTAGCTTTAAAGAAACCACTGGCCTGTTCTCAACAGAAGTCATGAATCTTCTGCATACCTCCACAGGCTTATGAAGCTGGGCATCCAAATACCAAAACACACAAGATTAGAGACCATTATGAAAAATATAAGCTGCATTCATAAGTTGCCTATACAAACAATCCTCTTGTGTAAGCATTTAGCTCATTCTTTGTGGAGCAATGTGGAATATGAGAGTAACAAACTACCCAAGGGAAAGCTCTGTGCTATTTGCCATCTCTGTGACACAGAAAGGTCACAGGTTTCACATTTAACAGTACCACAAAAGAAGGCTCTTTCCCTAAAATCTTTATACCATGAAATGACAGAGACACAAACATCTGACTTACTGTAAGGTGTTGTATCAGTAGGGTCAGGAGGAGGGAAGTTTTCTGTGAAGTTGACATTACACAAGTCTGTACTACAGCAGCAGAAGCGGTATGTTCCATTCTGAATCAAGGAAGGGGTGGTCGTAACTATACACTCTTCAAAGTGACACTCCTGTGGGTCTCCTATATGAGACCAGCAACCTGTAAAAAGAAGCAAATGACAGATTTTTTTTTTTTAATTAAGCATAAAATTAGTTCTACCGACTGGATAAACACACCTACATAAATCCATACATTACCTAATTAAACATTACAGAGTGGGGTGAAAACAGTTAACATAACTTGCTTGTCTGACTTTACTACCACCTTTTAAACCAAAACCTGAAGAATTTCTTTTAGAACTCCCCATAGCCAAGGAGAAGAAAATGTGGGCAGGGATGAAGGCCAACATCAGAAGTGTCTAGCTATTGCCTAAATATGATAAAACCTGAATTCCTGAGCCTTCTAAGCAGAAGTATGCCATTCCTCATCGCTCTGATACCACAGACCATATCACCACTCTCTGGTCCACAGTGTAAATGAATTGTGACTTAGTCCCTTCCTTAGGCCACAGGACTGCATCTACAGCTTGGTGCTTCTTACATAAGTTTCAAAATTCTGCCCTTCCTCATTGTCAGCATCACTGGACTTTTCTACAGGATCACAACTTATTGCCTGCTTAATACCAGGTCCTTTGTCCCTGCAGCAACTGTTTGTTCCCAAGTATGGTCAACAGCAGTTAAATGTCACTTATCTACAAATACCTGGAAGGGAAAGAGGCAGAGGTGAGCAGTCAGGCTGCTCCCTTCAGCAGATTGCAAGATCAAACAGCAATCATGGACTACAGCTCCACAGGCTATTTGTAAATACCAGCTGCATTGTCATTCAGCCTTACACTACATTAACTTGCATCCAAGAAAAAAAGAGCAGAGTCCCTGAGAATGGTCATCAAAACATGCCTCCAGAAACTGCAACAACTCCCTTCACCCCTCCTATCTTCATCCTCCCCACAGAACAGCACTGAATTACAGTAGATATGTGAACTATAGCTGCAATTTCCTTTGTAAACAAACATCTAATCAATATGAATATACACTTTTTACTTAATACGACACTTACTATTAAATTTATCGATACATAAACTGAAATTCAAGAAAGCCATCTTCCTCTGGACCTTGTAAGTAACAAGAAATTTAAATTTTTTTTTTCAGCTGTGCATTGATGTCTTTTAGAAGTCATTCATTTCAAACAAACTTTCTGTTCACACTTAAAAATGTTAAATGGGAAGTTTAAAAGTATGCATTTGTACAGTGTGCAAGAAGTCTAGTTTTGCAGTTGTGCAGCTTTGTATCAGCTTGCTAGATCACAAAGAAAGGAAGTAAATAAGAAAACTACTGCACTTAAACTGAATTGTTACATACCTTGTTTTACAAGATGTATGTCTCCTTCTCGTGTTTTTTCCCAAAGTCCATAGCAGGTACTACCTTTCATGCACAAAATTGTGCCATTCTCCTGGGAGATTCGGCTCTCACTGATTCCATGGTCCTGCTGATACGGGTCTTTAAATGCACACAGCCGCTCCTCACTCTGTGTAGCTTTAGCCAAAGAAAGAAAAAATAATTTTTGATTCTGTGCGTGAAATATTAACTTTAATAAAAAGATGATTAAGGTCTTCTGAAAAGATACATTCAAAAAAAGCTAGATGTGTAACTACAAGGCACTTAGATACTACTCAGAAGTACAGCTCAGCAAACATCCAATCACAGTAAGAATTTGTACTACGTATTTCAACAACTAGATTTCATCCAGTTCTTTAACTCCCATCAAAGCACTGGCAGCAAAAACATGTAAGACGAAGTAAATTGGTCTTTTGGGAAAAACAGATTTTGAACTTAAAGTAAAATTATAGCATATGTAATTGTAAATTATTAAAGGTTCTGTATAAAATATGTCCTCACACATGGTTTATTTCTTTGATCATTCTTCAGCAGTGGCCCCAAAGAAGCCATGTTTCAGCAAGGCAGACTTACTGCAAAAACACTACTTCATGTGTCACCAGCACGGGATATGGGGTAAGAAAAAACAAGAGACTGGGATACATGCATCTCACTTTTAAGGTTATTACTATTCATTAGGAGTCAAAAATTTGTAATTCTTTTATGCTGAGGCAACCATAAATTGCTGCTCTATTCAGGCCAGCATTCTATCAGTTTTTCCCAGTTTATTCTGTGGCAGCAACTAAAATAGCACAACTTAGCTGATTTTTCTACTGGTCTGATAGAGCGTGTGCGATCAGTTGAGCTGCGTGTCAGCTCAGTGGCGGTAAAACTCTCAGCTGAGGAGACAGGAACTTCTTAAACCACTGTAATCCAATCACTTGCAGCCCCACACGCTCCAAGAACCTGGCTGGCAGTCCATGCTGCTCACCCACCTCTCTGAACTCTGGTCAGTGCACTATTAACACTTAACTTCTGTAAGTTCTGCAGTGATAAATACATTTATTATGAAGCAGTGACTTACTGGATATTCAGAAAGTCAGTCACCTAAATTTCATATCCATTTTTTTTTTTTTTAAATCTCTCTGAGCAGAGCTAGTCAAGTTACTGAGTACAAAAAGGTCACACATTAACAGCCAGCACATGCTGCCTCCAGCAGAACTTGCCAGTTGCGTGCTGCAGTTTTATTCTCAGAACAGCTGAGTATGCCAGGCGTGAAGCATCTGTCCTGCATTCTCTGCTCCGTGACATGGGACTGGCCAAGAAACAATGTATGAAAAGGACAGGACCCCACTGCTGTAAGGGAACTGGATCTCACTAACTTTTTGAAAATTCAAAGAAGAAAAAACTATCACAGAACTACAATTTTCAAGACACAATGGGACCAAAGTATACAGCCTTGTGAAATAGGACATATCTGCAGAGGGACAGTAGGAAGGTTTTAAAACCTATTGCATATGATATCTGAGTGGGGCTAAGGCCATCCAAGATCTGGTTGTTTACAAAATGCTCAAACTGCTGCAAGATAAGCCCTTTCATAAATTGCCTTTGTGAAAAGTTAATTTAAAATAACAGAATTTATGAAACTGCCACACAAATCTGGTTTCCTTATTTAAAAATAAAAGTAATTCTAGGAAAGTCTACTTTAATAATACCTCAATATGTTTAAACAAAAAAAAAAATCTTTGAACCCATGAACTAAGAGAAGAAGAAAAACGACCAAAACAAACCAAAACCTTTTGAGTTTGCCTTGGACTCAGAAAACAAATAATGACATGTATCATGTCTGTGCTCCACCAACTGAGGCAACTTTAGTTGCTTCCTTTTGAGGTCTCTTAATCTTTCTATAAAACTCCTAGGATCAAGGTTGAGAGGTAAGAATATGAGAAGATACTCAAAAAAAGAGAAGTTATTAAGAGTCATGCTAGATGCTGTCCAACCATACATATACTACAGAAAGTTAAAGTAACTACCAAAGGCTTTTCTGATTTAAAATTTATAATACCTGTGGAGGGAAGGATTAGGCAAGCATGAGAAAATACAACATAGAGCTAGCAACCGGAGTGTCCATCAATTTTCTTGCAAAGTAATAAAAATACGAGTTAACTTGACACAATTTAATGTCAGATTATCTCAGTGGGAAACTTTTCCGACAAAAAATAAAGGTTACTCATCCAACAACTAGAGTTTTCATGCTGATCACTGCACATTCCTGCTTCAATTACAACTTGGAGAAGCACAGCCCCTGTGGGAGCAGTACCCTCTGCAATACTCTGCTGACCCCTGCCCCTTCCCCCATGGAACAGAACATCTGGAGAACAGGGGACATGGAACAAAAGCTACTTTATTTTTCTCTGTGGCCTCTGTATGTTCATTGTTGAAGTTGTAATGCCGAAGAAAATTGGGTAGGGCATTCAGATGTACAGAAACCGTCTTGCAGAACAACAGAATAGATGGGTTACTGCTCATGATTTCAGTCCATTCCTGCTCTGGGATTTCTTTCTTCCAGGCAGTGGAAACTAGTCAGATTTAAAAACTTTTAGTACTGGAATACTTCTAGGTCAGGTCTTGAAAGCAGCCTCTAGCCTAGGTGAGTATGCTTGTATGCCTTAAACTTTGCCCAAAAGAAGTACTACAAAATACTACTACAAAAACCACACCAAAGTGCCAGAGTGCCTCTTTATAAAGTTGACCTATTTCAACAGAAATCTTACTCTTCAAAGTAAAATACTGTTGCTCATTTGGATTTCCAAATGGATGATGTTTGTCAGTTTTCAGTCATCATGGAAGCCAATAGGTATGCAGGGTGCATTCAGAGTGGAAACACATCCCCTGTCCTGTGGGAGCTGAGTCCCTGCAATGTTTGAGGGCAGCCACTCACACTCTTTGTAGCAGCTTAGCTAGAAACAATTCCAAAGCTGCTTTTCCATCCTTGGAGATATTCAAAAACTGTCTACATATGGTGCCAGGCAGCTGGCTCCAGGTGACCCTGCCTCAGCAACAAGTTGGACGAGATGACCTTCAGAGGTCCCTCTCAACCTCAACCATTCTGCAATTCTTGCATGTCTCCAAGTACCCAATGTGCAGCAAACAAGACACAAAAATTATTTCTCAGCTGGGCTACTTCGCTCTTTTTTGTCTCCAAGGCAAGTGAGATGGTAAGGCAAGACTAGAACTACTGGATTCTCTTGTTTGTCTTCAGTTCAAATAGATCCAAATAGACCGAAGGAAATACCTTAATGTTAAGATCTTCATTAAACAACAAGAGCAATTAAAATAAATAACTTATCCTATGAAGACTGAGGTTCCTGAACTGCCCTATTTGAATACATCCAGTTCATTTGCTACCTGTCAGAAACATGAAGGGCAAAGTCCCTGCAGACATGTGTGCTCACCAGATATTAGGGAGCTGTGAGCAGTTCACTGTACAGTGCTCTTTTCCTTACAGATTTCACAGACCCAACATGCACTAACAATGTATTCTGAAATCAGCAAAATGCAGAAGCCATTTACAGATCAAGCTATGCAGTTTATCATGCCCAGACATGAAACGTCCCAGCATACAAACACAACCAAGACCTAGCACTTAAGTAAGTGGCAGCACAGATTTATAGGATGTCTGCTGAATGGCTGAAGTCATCCTTTAAAACCCTGAATTTACCTTTATAAGGCAAATTTCTGAGTAAACTCTGTTTTTTCATCCCATAGAACTCATTAGACATTCAGATCTTTTCTAATTAATCCTTTAATGAAATTTCATGAGAGATTTTGAAATAAATAAATGGCAAGTGAATGCCTACATGTCATACATCACTGAAAAATTTGCTACTGGAGAAACTGTAGAAGCAACAGATAGGCTGACAGAAGAGGACAGAAAGTAAAACTTGCACAACAAATTATGAAGGAATTGTAATGAAATGTCAATTTTCCATTCCTCTTGTATTGCATACCAGTCCAAACAATGTCAAAATAATCCAATAGAAATAATAAAATGAACTCCAACTTCTGTTCTCTCATCCTACAGAGATTTCTAACAAAGATAAGAGGGGAAGGCACCATTCCCTCAAGTTTTACCAAGGGAAAAACCAACAGGAGCACAACAAGCTCTTCAATGCCAAACCTTTTCAAACCAGAAAAAAACCCCAAACCTCAAAATAAGTTTTGTTGCTCTCCAGCAACATTTTACACCTCTATGTATACCAAAAAACGCTTTTATATTTTATACACAGTTTCAGAAACAAACATGAGCGGCATTCAAATGGAATATGGGTGCTCCAAGCAGTCATCTAAGAAAGAGTAAATGTCCTCAGCTTTCTGCCCGGCTGCCACTATGCCACTACCGGTGAGTCTGATCACCACACGTGCTTGTAACACACTTTACTTGAATCAAACTGTGAAAACTTATTGTCATATTCCAAGTGGAAAATGGGTAAACAGACTACAATAAATTACTCTCCTGGAATCACAAAGGAACTGGGAATTGCCCATTGTTTCCCAAGTCTGTCCTGTGGCTGATGCTTACTGCTGCAGTGGTCTGGGGGCACAGAGCTCATCCCCATAACACCATACAGCCCTGAGAAAGAAGACCAGGGCTTCAGAAATTCCCTTTTGGCATACAGCTCAGGTTTTTATGTGATTTACCATCCTACAATTTGTCAGTTCTACTGTCAACAAAGAGAATCTGAACATTATCACGGAAAAAATGCTATATAGATGTTCTCAATATTTTCTCTCTGTAATCATGATGTTATTTCCAGCTGCTCAGAAACAGAGAACTGATTCACACTGATAAGTGAATTCTGTCTGTTCACTACGTAAAATACCCTGAGATGTTTACTATTTGAGTATTTGCCTTTTTTCCCCACTAAAGATATTTCTGAACAGCAAAGATCAGAAAAATATAACAAGTGCATCTACTATGTCAGAAATGCTGTATGTTACTAACACAAAATTCATCCATGCTAGGATGAGTTTAAACAAATGAAAATGTCACTATTGTTTTTAATATAGTAATTCTTTCACAATCACTGTGTGTTCTAGGAAAACAACTACTGAAAACAATGAAAGAGAAATACCAAAAGTTACAGGAATCCAACTGC